GGTTTTCAAGATATTGATTATTTGTTAATGGTTTTGTAAAGTGTGGGTTCGTAAATAATATCTTTGGTGGGTGACTTTGGGTAAATATTTTAACTTCATAATTATAACATAACCAATAAAACTATTGCGCCAAGATGTAGGCAACACGTAATAAGTGTTCAAAATGGCGGCATTTTCTATCTCCTTTTAAAAGGCACTGTGCAGTACAACCATTTTTCATATATTAAGAGAAAATCGAAGTATGTGATTTTGACACTTGTTGCGATTGGGCATTCCAACGACCTGTCAAACAATAGGTGCCAGTGGGAAATTCTTGTATATTTAAGGGGGTAGCGACATAGTCTTGTAACTTGGACGCTATTTTTATTCGAAGTAATACTCGCCAAGCCTGCCAATTTATGAAGAAATAGGTGGGTTTTTTAAATATTATTTTTATTGTGTTTGACATAAAATATTTAAATGTAATCCATTATTCATGATTTTACGTAAAGTAGACAGAATACACCATATGTCGCCACCCTTAGATATACCAAACCTGCCCACTGGTAATTCATTTGTTTGGAATGCCTAATTACAAAAATGTCACTTTATATGTCAAAATTAGACTAGTCACAATTGCTTGTAGCCGAGCTGCTGCAAGCAAAATGTTGTATGCAAAGTGATAGATTTACACGTTAATCAGTAAATATAAAATATAGATCTACCTACATGTTCGGTAATAAAAATGTGAAATCAATGCATGAAAATACTTATAGTATATTTTATGCATTTAAAAAATGTTTTTCTACGTTCATGCAAAAAACAAAACTTTATTGAACTATATTTAGTGAAAAAACTGCACTACTGCAATAAAAATTTTATTGCACTCATCTGTCATTTTCATTTTCTGTGTTACGTTTTAAAAACAATTGCATATTTTATATTATTTTCAATCATTTAATAAATAAATTAATAAAAAAAATGTATTTTATTAAAAAAGTCTTTACAAATTATGAACACAAACGTAAATAAATGCCTCAAATAAAGGTACACGATCACGGCTACTATGATTTGGATAATACAACTGCAGTTCTATAAAACATTTTTTGGATTTTGCATGAACGTAGAAAAAATATTGTATGCAACTATTAGTATTATAAATAATTTTTTTCAACATCTTAAACCTTATTTATAGTGTTTAATTCGTATTAAAAATGAATCTAATCACTTGAATTTTAACTTATGTAAATAAGAACAATACTTATATTTTAAAGCAAAAATAATAACTTAAGAAGAATTTATCACTTTGACAACGTTGTATTATCGATTGGATAATAAAAGTTTCAGATTGTATAATAACCATTATCATTTTATATTTTTCCAAACGCATCCAAATATTTAAATATCTCATTCATTTTATCGTTGTGTGCATATACACTGTGTCCCAGATTGGTGCTGCAAATATTGCTTTCTCGGTTATTATAAGAGCTACACAATCGGTTAAATAGGCAATGTTTCTCGGGATTCTATTACCATTTCAGAACTGATATTACCGATAATCAATTGTTTTTAATTTTTGAAATAATCGAGAAAAATCGTAGATGCGTTTTTAACAAACAACCGTATCTCAGTTATTTGGTAACATAGTATTATCAGAGCATGGACACTTTTTTAAGGTATTTATAATAAAACAGAGCAAAAAAAATATCTTACCATTTTCGAGATAATAACTATATATAACTTTAATATTCTTATGGACGCCATATTGAATTTGTATATGTATCACAACCATGGGCGCAGCCAGAACTTTTTCCAGGAGGGGGGGCAAGAATGCAAAATTGTGAATTCTTTAAAACAAATTACAGAAATGTAGGGATTTATAGACGCTATCCGCTATCGTGTAATCCGATACGATACGGAATATAATGAGCTTAGACGTGGTTATCAAATGCTGCCGTTTCAAGGGATAAGATACTCTAAAAAATATACCGAAGGTCCAGAGCGAAAACCCGATATGTAATAAAATTTAGTTATGAAGATATTGCCGTTTAAGTATTTTTTTTATTCTTTTAATTACAAATAAATGCTTTTGATGGTTTGCCTGCGTCAGTTTATAGTACATATTACTTTATAACAATTAAACGGATTGCTTTTTTTTTAAAATTAACGTTTGCTATATATGTACTGAAATAAAGACAATATGATATCAAATTATCAAATTTTCACTGTATTGATTAATAGTTTCGAAAAAAATTGATCTCTACTTATGTATCGATTTTGCGGAATACCAGTTAACAATACTTAGATACGCAATTTTACAAAACGGAGTATATTAACAGAAATAGCACTAAAAACTGTTTGATGAAACCTATATAAAATAAGTCATTTTTCTATTTTTGCTGACTTATCTACTATTGGCTGTGAACACTCCATACAATCTATTATTATCAGTTAAACTTATGCCCCAATAATTGTTTGACAGAATATATTTTTTTTTGGGAACTTGGTAATTTCTAGGTGAGCAACTGCCCCCTTTGCCCCCCTGCCGGCGCCTATGATCACAACATGGTATTTTCTTTCAAATGAAGGCTGAAACAACCAATTTTTGCTACTGTGCTTGATACAGCCTAGTAGGCCAGCTAGCAATTTGTTTACGTCTGTGAAGTTAGCACTACAACCTTCTAATTTTGGATTTTTGAATATTGGAGAATTGTCGCTTTTTTATATTAAATTTTTCGTGGAAAAAAAAATTGTTAGTTCATCCCCTTTTCAAAGATAAATTACATTTTTTCATATGGAAAATTAATCGCTTTTTGTCGTAAATTTTTCGTGGAAAAAAATTGTCGCTTGATGGAAAATTAGCACTACCAATCACGAAAATTACATTTTTTTATATGGATAATTTGTCGCTTTTTCTCGTAAATTTGTTGTGAAAAAAAAACAATTTTACGGCTCATCCCCTTTTTTAAATGAACCATAGTTAATGCTAATTTTGATGGAAATTTAACACTACCAATCACGAAAATGAGCATAAATTACATTTTTTTATATCGACAATTTATCGCTTTTTCGTCGTAAATTTGTTGTAAAAAAATATCGTTCATTCCTTTTTTGAAATAAACCCTAGAAGCTAATTTTTCTAAAGTTAATACTACCAATCACGAAAACGAGCGTAAATGACATATTTCTACTGCTAAAATGAGAAATCACCATTAAGTATTTACTCCATTCCTCTGAGAAGTAATATTTTTTTACGATCAATATACAAAGTAGGCTTTTGCGCTTCAAAATACAACCGCAAATTTGGCATTTTCTGCGAACTGACATTAGGTGACAGCTTTGTCGCTCGCCGAGCGGAAAACTTGACAGCTTTGTTCGCCTAATTTAAATTAAATATAATATAATAATATTTATTTTTAATAAATTATTTTCAAGTTATTTGTACGTAGTTTGATGTTCTTTGTTTCATTATCCAAGTAAACATTGACTCCGTTTTTCATGACTAACATAAATATAGGCAACATATTATACACTACTTACGACAAATTTTTAGTTTTTATATCTATTTCTTAAAATAATGTGATCGGAGAAAACATCTTGTGTGCATTTTGAGCGAACAGTTCGTTTTGCCGCTAGGCTTCGTGCGGCCTACTTTCTGTTTCAAGCGGCAAAGTATATCACTTTTCGCTCTTAATACAAAAATAGCTCTTCTCACCCTAGGTAAATAATGATATAAAAAACACCCAGGTAAATAATGAAATTGTCTCTATTTTTAATGAAATGAGCAGAAACTCTAATTTGACCACTAAACTCTCAGACTAATTCATATTTCCAAATATTTGAAAAATAAGTTATAAATAACTAATTCTGGGTTTATCAAAATCTAATCAAATATGGTAATATATCAGTGTTAGTGGTAAAATAGTAGTTTGTGCAACAAGAATGGATAAAATATGATGGCCATATCGTACGAAGACGAAATTTGAGCACGACGCTGAAGACAAAAATCGTTGGAAAATGTATGTTCACAATGTTTCCTACGATTAGAACAATTTAAAGAATGTTCTAGGTGTTTTGTATATTAAAGTGTTCATATATGACACAGAAATAAAATTATGTATCCAATTGAAAACTAATAAATAATTATTATACAATAAATATTTAAAAAACTGTTTTTCTAATTGACTTTGAAACGAGGTAGTCGATAGGTTATTGTGTATACAGCGTGTGTGTACTGAAATGCCGTTAATAGATATGTCTCAAATAAATAAGCGTCTGGCCGGCAGGTGAACTTGGTTCCTGAAGTTATTTGTGTTATGTAATACTTTTCATTTCAATTTGAGCTATGTCCAAGCCATTGGAGTCTATGCCGGTTATTGGCGTAGTCAGGTATGGGTTGAGATTATCTGGTGGCGGTGAAGCCGCACCCTGCGAGAAGTCGTTGCTTCGTCTTCTGTTTCACAGAATGTGTATTTCTCTAGCCGCTATAACAACAAATTTTACCGTTGTAGCTAAATTATTAATAATTGGTTACATGTTGCGCACTTCAGTACATTTTATATATAACTTGCCTCAACTTACTTATTAAAGAGTTGACTTTTGTTTTACTTTGGCTTACATTTTTTAGACATTATTTTCACATACTCTGTATCAGAATATGTTGATTGACTAAGTCTATAGATAGTTTTCTGCGAAATAAGTAATGCCTCTGCAGCCATTTCATTGTACCTCTTCCCAAGAGAATTGCAAATAGATTTGTCTCTTAAAATAGTAAACTACATTTAGAATTGAAGTTTTTGATTGATCACATCGTTTCAACATTTTGTATAAAAATGTACAAATTTTTAACAAATTGACAAATTCAAAATTATTTTGATAAATGGCATATGCCATAATACATGATGTATTTAATCTATGACGTGCCAAAATCTAGTAACCTTTTGTTTCGGCCATTTTACATTTAAACAATAAAGAAAGCGAATGGATTGGGGGTATTTCCGAGATTTTAGTTTCGTTATGTCAAATCATTTATGCAAGAAGTGTGATATTTTTATCATCACATGGGTGATATTTTTATCTCACAAGGGTAATATGAGATACTTTCCATTAATCAAAACAATGTGCTACGTGTAGTTTTCATAGGTGGTAGTGGTAGGAAAATATAATAACGAACTACTGAAACTATCTACTCAACTCAAAAAATGTTCGCCTTCATAATTTTGAATTTGCCGCCGTGTCCATACAGTTTTTGTTTAGTCTTTTGGTTGGCAAAACTAACTGTCATGCGTCAAATGTTGGACAGTGACAGTACTGACAGTAAGTCAAGTGACAGTTTGTAACTGACGTGACGTTTCTTAAAAATTACAAAATATTTGCTTTTGTGTTGTGTCCATATGGACGATATTAAATTTTATTAGAAAAATATTCGTTGATTTTAATAACAATTTTCCCTTTTTACTTCTGAATAAAAATGGCGGACTGGGAAGAAGTTAAACGTTTAGCTGCAGATTTCCAAAAGGTTCAGCTGAGTTCTACAACGCAGAAGTATGTTTTTAAAATTTGGACTTAAGTTATTTTCCTAATAATCATTTAATTTTTAGATTATCTGAGAGGAATTGTATTGAAATTGTATCATGGCTAATAGATCGAAAAATGTTGGATCTAATTTTTACCAGTGATGGCAAAGAATATATTACTCCAAATCAACTAGTTAGTGATATTAGGGGAGAATTGTATGACCATGGTGGTCGAATAAATTTAGTAGAATTGGCAAAAGTTATAGGAGTAGATTTGGCTCATATAAATACATATTTAAACGATGTTTTAAAAGGAAATAAAGAAATTCAGTCAGTTTTAGGTCAATTAGTTGATAGTTCTTATTTAATTAGAATAGCTGGAGAAATTAACGAAAAACTCTCCCAACAGGGACAAATAAACATAAGTGACTTAACTATTCAATATGATCTTCCTGCAGATTTTCTGCAGAGTCAAGTAGTAGAAAAAAATTTAGGCAAAATTATTTTCGGTAAACAAGATAAGAATGACTCAAAAGTATATTTTACTGAATCATTTATCTCTAGAACTAAAGCTAAGATTAAGGGTTCTTTGGCTGGTTTGACCCGGCCGACTCCAATAACTTCCATCCTAAATAATATTGATATAAGTGAGAAGTTGTTTTTCTCACTGTTTGATCAAACTGCTCTATATGGAACACTTACTGGGAGGATGACCGGAGCTCAGTATATTCCAAATGTTTATGCTAGGACTCAGGTAATTTTCTTGAATAAATGTATCATTCTGAAGTTTTTATTCCATTTATCATACCAGTAAGAATCATTTATTTCTTCAGAGTGAATCTGGTAATCAATAAACATTTCATGTAGGAATAAAAATACATTTTTTTATAATGATTAACTCATTTCATTGAATTTTTACATAAATATGTTGAAAATACATTAACTCTCTAAGGACGGACGTTGCTTATATGAGACATATTCTAATCATGTGAAATAGCCCAGCATCGCTTACAAGCGACAGGGGTAAAACCTTATCAGGATACCATGTTTAGTCTTACTAAAGTTTGCTATTTTGACAGCACTTATTATAGCCGAGCGTCGTCCTTGGTCGACATTTGCAAGCACATTGTATGACCTCATGTCGCTTATATGCGACCAAGGCATGAATCTACAGGAACACTTAGGTAAAAACTGGAAAAATTTGGCAAAGCTGTATGGCAACCTGTCATGTGCTTTACAGAAGACAATGATCTCGTGCGTATGAGCGTCATTAGGCATATAGAAGTATGTAATATTAAAGAATTAATTCCGGCAGGCACACGTGCATAGAAAAAAACAATTCCATCCTTAGAGGGTTAATACTAAAAAATATATTCAATAATTTTTTATTTTCTACAATATAGATAGATAATATTTATTCACTATTTTATAAAATTAATTTCTTATCTTTGCTTTCTTTTTTGTTTTAATTTAATCTCAACATTATAATAGTTTTTACTAATTTACCACAATTTAAATGATCTTTCTCTCTTTTATGGATATAGCAGAACTAAATATTTTTAATGAGATTGAAAATGAAGAAAATGAGATTGAATTAAATAAAAATTCTCCTTATGACTTAGACAATTTTTTAAATATTATCAGTTGCAATAATCATTTAATAACCTTAATAAAAATTTTGCATAATGAATATTAGAAGTATAAAAAAAAATTTGACAACTTTTTAGTATTTTTGGAAACTTTTGGTTTAAAGGACTTGGATATAATAATATTAGGAGAAACACATAATGTTATTGAACTTGATAATTTAATTATAACTGGTTTTATCAATATAATTAATGAAAGTGTGAATAATCAATGTGATGGTGTAGTTATATATATTAAAAACAACATTCAGTTTGAAATAGAACATACAAAGTTGCCTCTATCAAATGTAAGGATAAGCTCAATAACATTTAGTCATAATGGTGTGTCCTATACAGTAATGCCTTGTTATAAATCTCCATCCATATCAGATGATACATTTCTTACAGATTTTGAAAATTTCTTAAATAATTATATCTCTTTATTTAGTCATATATGGCTAATTAACATGTCATACACAATACATTAAAGCAGTACTAAATTAGACTTAATAATAATAACAATAATAATAAAATAAAACCATTTCAGAGTTTTACCCATCCAACAAATAATGCTTAACCTTGCTTTTGAAAGTAAGTATTGATGTTAAGTTTTTTATAGAGTCTGGGAGGCTATTGAATTCCTGTAATCCTTTAAAAAATATAGAGTTTTAAGAGCTTCTTTTTGCCACCGGAGGTACAAAAAAATGTTGTCCGTTACGAGTATTGTACTGATGTATCCTCATGGTTAAATACAATTTTATCCATCAGATACTCAGGCGCACAGCCGTTTTTAATTTTAAATATAAAAATTTGGGTTTGATACCTTATGAAATCTGTCACTGGAAGCCACTTAACTGAGATAACATATCTTTTATTGGGGTCAGCCTAGAGCGGGACAGTATCGTACGCATTGCTCGATTCTGTAGTTTTTGTAATCTATTTTTTTCATTTTGTCCTAATAGGTAGAGTATTGTAGCACAATAAGTAAAATGGGGCAAAATTAAAGTGTTGTATATTATATTTTTGGTTCACTGTGTACTGTGTCAGGTGCTTACTACATCTGTATAGATAATTTATTTTAAAAGATATTGTTTTTATAATATAATTAGCATGAGATTTAAATTTTAATTTTCTATCAATTTTTACACCCAAATATTTAAACTTTTCAACGTGTTGTAATTCATATATGTTCTAATTTTAATTACATAGTTATCTACATTAAACTTATTATATTCCCTATCATTTCCAATAAACATATATTTAGTTTTATTAACATTAATTTTTAAAAAATTTGCACATGCCCACTCATAATTTTTCCAAACTTTTATTTACAACTGTCACCGCTTGTTTAATGTTTTTGATGAGTAAAATAGAAGTGTGTCATCTGCAAATAAATTCAATAAACATTCGATTTAAAGCTCCCCTATGTCATCTACATATATTAGAAATCATAAGGGTCCCAAGACACTCCCTTGAGGTATACCATATTCATTGACCACTTCATCAGAAATAATCTTTTTTATTTTTGCCTTCTGTTTTCTATTTGTGAGGTAATCGATGATCCAATTTAAAACTGTCCCTCTGATTCCTATACTTTCAAGTTTTTTAATTAGTCGAAGTCGATCTATTGTTTCAAAAACACGTTGAAGGTCCAAAAATACAGCTATAATAAAATTGTTTGTGTCAATCTCCCCCCTCCAATCATCCAGTACACACTGTAGTGCAGTCTCACATCCATGCTTGCTACGAATTCCTGATTGAATTTTACTAATTAACTTGTGTTCTTCAATATAATCCATACTCTGTTCATAAACAACTTTTCGAGAAATTTATCAATACAGCTGAGCATATTTATAGGACGTAACTGCTGAGCATTTTTAGGGTTTGAAACCTTGGGTATTGGTATAATTGTAGAAACATTAATATCTTGTGGTACTTTACCTATCTGTAATGAGCTATTAATAATATTAATTAGAGGATTAGCAATGCTGTTAAATGTATTTTTACCAAGTTCAAGCTAATGTCATCTGCACTACTTTTATTTGGCAATGAAAAAATAATTCTTTTGAGAGAATCATAATCAATTAACCGAAAGTTAGAAAAACATGGAATTCACTTATTTTTAATCTTTATGGGAAATTTTGGGCCACTCTGATCAATATTATCAATTATTGTACCGATACTACTAATAAAAAATGTGTTCAATTGATTTGGCATATCCTCAATTTTATCAACCATTTTTTGATTATCTATCTCAATTTCTAAAAAATCGTCATGCAAAGAATTATTTGGCAACAAAGTTTGTAATACTATACTAAGAAGGCAAGGAATGGATATATTTATTGGTGACATTAATATTAATATCCTTGATCCCTCAAACCAAATAACAAATAGATATTTGGCAATGTTATCTTCCTTGGGATTTGTATCATATATTAATTCATACACCAGGGTTACTATAGAAACGAAATCATGTATTGATCAAAAATAATATTCCAGATAAAAATTTCTCATTTAAATCGTTGGTAATTGACACTGATCTAACTGATCATTTTCCAATTTTTTTAAATATTACAACAAACGAAAGAAACTTTAACCATAATACATTAAACCAACATACAACACAATACACCGATATAGATAGATTTACAAAATTATTAGAAAATGTAAACTGAAACAACGTCATTTCTCTTAGCAATCTAATTTTGGCCTACCAGAAATTTATTGATATAATATATTCCCTAAAAGAACAATGTAATATAACTAATAGGTATAATACTTATAAAAAAATAAAACCATGGATAAGTCAAGGCATCATCATGTTAAACATAGGGATGAAATGAAAAAGCAAATATTAAGAACCAAAAACAACAATCTTCTAAGAGACTATATATCGTAAACAACTAAATAAAATTAAATAATGCTAAAAATGATTATTATACAATTCAAATTCAAAATAGTAACAATGATATTAAAAAAATATTCAAAATAGTTAAAAAAGCTTCAAATGAACACCGAAACAATAAAACAAATAATGATTTTAATATTCTAAACAGTAATAAACAATTTACAAATGACAAAGAAATGGCCACCTACTGCAATAACTATTTTTCAAAAATAGGTATAGATATGGTAACTAAAATCAATTCTGTAGATGACTTCCTAATAAGATATCCACCTCTAATCAACTCAATGGCATTAAATCCTGTCAATTAAAATGAATTAATAGAACATATAAATTCCTTAAAAAAATAACAGTGCTCCTGGGATTGACGAAATTACATCTAGAATGTTGAAAAATGGTCACCGATGCATAATAGAGCCTCTAATGCACATTATAAACCTAATCTTTACAACAGGTAAGATACCGGAAGAACTTAAAATATTGTAAATCCAGTTTTTAAAAACGGATCCAAAAAAGATGTGTCAAATTACAGACCAATAAGTCTGATTACAAATTTTGCAAAAATGTTTGAAAAATGTTTAAAAAAAAGATTATACGAATATCTAATTGATAAGAAGATTCAGGTTCCAAAGAGGTGTTAGCACTGGTGATGCCATGTATGAATTGATATCTAATATAAAAAACAGTCTTGAGAATGCCAAAGAAGGCAGCAAAGCACCTCGGGAATTTTGAGTTGAAACTTATGCCACACTTTTAGGCTATTTTTATACCCTATTCAAATATTTTATGCTCCTCGTTTTTTGCAAAAATCAAGGTGCTCTGCTAGCTTCGAACGAAGTCAGCAGAGCACCTCAGTTTTTTACAACTTTTTCCAAAACCAACGACACCATATTTTTAGGCTACTTTTAGGCTCTTAAATTATTATAAAACTTTTCGAAAAATATTGTTATTTTTAAAAAATACAGGGTGCTTTGCTAGCTTCAAACGAATTCAGCAGAGCACCTCGGTTTTTTAAAGCTTTTTTCTAAAAACAACTATACCACATTTTTAGGCTATTTTAAGGCTCTTGAAATATGATAAAACTAGTAAAAAATTGCTATTTTTAAATAATAGAGGGTGCTTTGTTGGAGCAAAGTCAGCAGAGCACCTCGGTTTATTATTATTTTTTTCTTCAGAAAAATAGTTATGCTACGTTTTTAAGCTATTTTTAGGCTCCTAAAACCATATATAACTTTTCAAAAAAAATGTATTTTTTAAAAAATACAGGGTGCTTTGCTAGCTTCGAACGAATCCAGCAGAGCACCTCGGTTTTTAAAAGCTTTTTCTAAAAACAACTACACCACATTTTTAGGCTATTTTTAGGCTCTTGAAATAATATAAATTATTCAAAAAAAAAAGGTTTCTCTTATTTATTTTCTTTTCGCAATCATGAACATATTTATGACATAATTAGTTCCATAATGTTCAACTTTATGTAACTCAAAGTAGATAGATCATTTGGACACTCGCTGCGATTACAAAAATGTCACTTTGTAAGTCAAATTAAAAGAAAATTTGTATTAAATACTTATTAAGATTAGGATAGGCTCATTGCAAAAAACCCTTGATTAACAAACATTTTAATTACTACGATTAATTATATCAATGCAGGAAAAAATAATCGAAATCAATGATGAACAATATACAAATAAGTTGTTTTAGCTGGAATTGATTGATTCAAAATTGGTGTAAATATCAATTACAAGGTAGTGTCCGTGTTAAAAATTCCATACCTGTTGATTATATTAAAATTGCAAAGTAAATGTTCAAATCAAATCCAAATATCAGTCATATCATAATACCTACTCATACGCAGAGTCTTCAATAATATTCATATCTCACGTGACTAAATTGACTAAAAGTAACATTAATAACTTCAGTAGTAAACCCTAAAACAATGACCTATTTGACATAATTCTATTGTTAAATAAGTTGTTATAAAAATCAGTAAAAACGGCCTTTTTTTCAGTAAATTTCTTGTTTTATATGTAAAAATTACAATAAAATTATAAATCTGTAAATTGAAAGCAAAAAAATAGAAATGTAATTTTTTTAGTAAATTTTATAATATTTCAAGAGCCTAAAAATAGCCTAAAAATGTGGTGTAGTTGTTTTTAGAAAAAAGCTTTAAAAAACCGGGGTGCTCTGCTGGATTCGTTCGAAGCTAGCAAAGCACCCTTTGCTCCAATAAAGCACCCTGTATTATTTTAAAATGGCAATTTTTTGGTAAAATTTCATAATATTTTAGGAGCCTAAAAATAGCCTAAAAATGTGGTGTAGTTGTTTTTAGAAAAAAGCTTTAAAAAGCCGAGGTGCTCTGCTGGATTCCTTCGAATTTAGCAAAGCACCCTGTATTTTTTAAATATAACAAAATTTTTCGAAAAGTTTTATAATATTTTAAGACCCTAAAAATATGGTGTCGTTGGTTTTGGAAAAAAGCTTTAAAAAACTGAGGTGCTCTGCTGACTACGTTCGAAGCTAGCAGAGCACCTTGATTTTTGCAAAAAACGAGGAGCATAAAATGTTTGAATAGGGTATAAAAATAGCCTTAAAATACCTAAAAATGTGGCATATTTTCAACTCAAAATTCCCGAGGTGCTTTGCTGCCTTCTTTAGCATGTCTTGAGAATGAAAATAAAAATATAAGTGTTTTTATTGACCTCGCAAAAGCTTTTGACACTGTTCCTCACAAGCAACTACTAAATGTTCTTGAACATTATGGCATTCGAAGAATGGTTTTAAAAATGTTTGAAAACGACCTACACGAGAGAACACAGATAGTTAAAATTAGAAATGAATTTAGTAATCCTGTTAAAATTCAAATAGGTGTGCCACAAGGAACTTGGTCCATTTCTTTTTATCATCTATATCAACTCTCTTTTAAACTTAGATATAAATGGTATAGCAATATCCTATGCAGATGACACCGTATTAATGTTTGAAGGTAAAACCTGGGAGGCTGTAAAATCAAAAGTGGTTAAAGGGGTAAGAATTATGAAAAACTGGTTGGATTATAATAAACTATCTTTAAATATATCGAAAACAGTATATATGGCATTCTCACTCACAGATGCTAACAGGCCTAACTTCAAACAGATTTGTATTGAATCCAAATTCATCATCAAAGAAGTGGAAAATGCCAAATATTTAGGAATAATAGTTGACAAAAATCTTAAATGGACTGATCATGTTCAGTACTTAACAAACAAAATAAGAAAACTTATATATAAATTTTATTTAATTCGTAACATTCTAAATAAAATGTTATTACACTTGATGTATATTGCTCTCATTAAATCCTTAATTAGATATGGCATAATCGTATAGAATGGTTTATATGACAATGCCCTACATCCTTTAAGTATCATTCAAAATTATATCTTAAAGATAATAAATCATAAAAGTTATTTGTTTTCAACAACCCTCTTATACAACGAATCCACTCCAAACGTAAGATCACTATATTTTCACTCTAGCTGTATGTTCTGTTTTAAACTAAAAAATGAAATTTTTGTAAACCTCTCTTATATGACCCGGAAACAAAAGAGAAGAATGCTAAATGTACCATTCTTTAAATATGATGGAAATAAAAGATTCATTTCTTCAATTGGGTCAAAAGTATACAACTCTTTAAGTTAAAATATCAGATAAATAAAAAACATAAAAACCTTTTCTAAAGCGATCAGAAAATTTATATTTGATAAATATTTATACCTCTCAAATTTGTTATAAATACCTAGTTTTATACATTTATGTCCTTTTAATCATCAAATGTTTAGTTTATAGGTATTGTTAATTTTATGTAGTTTTAATCTATTTCTATTGCACATACAGATGTGTTTGCATCTAGGTGCATATTTTAAGAATAATTTCTCATTGTAAATTTATTTGATTTTGTATTATAAAATGTTTATTCTTCTTCTTATTCATCTTCTTATACTGTTTACATGCTTCACTTTAACGCAGGTTTTATATCATTGAGACGCCTTTTAAATCTTTTTTTTAATATTTTGGAGGTTTCTATATGAACTTCATTAATTTTGTTTACAGAATGAATGGGTGAATCATTTCTACAAACAGAATGGTTATCTTGAATTTGATGCTCTCTCTCGGCTTGGCATAACTGATCAAAAAACCTACATAAAAAAACAATTGGTCAATCAAGAATATGAAATTCTACATTCATGCATCGTTTCCAAAAGTATTCTCGAACGTGTGGATGCAGACATTGATGAATGCATATCGAGCAAGAGTTTTATTGATTTACAAAATAACTTACCATCGGTATTTAATCAAAAAGATGAGGAGATGATACTGAATTTAATATTGACTAGTCAAAAACGCTCGCAAACTATATTAATAGAAAATTATCTTTTGAGTAAAGCTTTTGTAGATAAATTGTTAAAAGATTGTGAATCATTAATACAAGAAAAAGCAAAAAATACTGTTGAATCAGGTAAATACCAACAGTATCAAATTAGTTTGCAAGCTGCTTCTAGCAAAAATCAGAAAGCGGAAGAACTTGAAGAAAAAGTTGACAAAAGGGAAGAAAGACGAAAGAAAGCTGCTGGAGGAAAAAGTGGTGGTGGTACACAAGGTCGTGAGACAAAAACTAAATCTACTAAGAAAGCTGCTAGAGGTGGTAATAGGAATAATTCAGAAAGTGACGGTGGGGAGAAAGAAGAAAAGAAGGTTTTAGAAATCATTAATTTTGATGATGCAAAAGGTATATTTGACTCATTCTTTCATAATATTTAACAGCATATAATTTTTAATAAAACTTTTATATATTTTTTACTATGAAACCACCCCATGTTCCAGTTAGTTCTTTTCAATTATTAAAACAAATTCTTTAAATACAAATAATCATCTTATTTTTAGATGTCCTACAACTTCCTTTGGAAGAAGAAGGTATAGAAGACGATATATTACAACAAATAATTGAATATCTTCTTCCAAAATTAAATGAAGATGCTCTTCAACAGGCTGCAAATATTTTTGCAACCACTATTGCAGACCGCACTGCTAATCGTCGCCAGACTCATAATGAAATTCAAAGTAAATTGAACGCCCTGATAAGCGATGTGAGGCTTTTTGAGAAAGGTTAGTGATAATTAAAAATAAATAAAAAATGAATTAACTTCACTACCCCCCGTTCACTACAATAACGCGATATCTGAAAATTATGCGTTGTGCGAGGCATTGCGTCATTCGTGAAGTCATCATAAAATATAGCCTGCATCTTGACAATAACTTTTTTACATTAGCTTTCTTTATGGTTGACTATTTCAATCTCATATTGCATGTGCAGGCTTATTATTACTGTCACATGTCACTTTTCGCCAGTTTAAAATTTTTTTGTTGCATACAAGCCGCGTTTAAGCTATATCCCGAATTTCGTTGAAAAACGTAAATATCCGATTACGTGGCTGGAATCCCTACACCAGAAGTAGAAAAACCGGACGACAGAAGATGCATGCAAAGGGATCTTTTTATCGTTATCGATGGTTGGAACCATAAAATTAATATAAAAAAAAAAATAGATTTATTGATAAGCCACTTAACTTTGTATTTCACACGTCACATGACCTTTCTTACTACCAGAACAAAGTACATGTTGTCCACTTCCCCTCCCCTGTACCCAACTACAAATAGCCAGCAAAAAAGGCGATGTGCCACTTTTGTATTTAACTAAGGGACTAGTAATGTAGAAGACCGGAAACTATTTTATTACATCCCTGCTTGTGTTTCTAACCAAGTATAGAAGTTGACATTGGCCTTCAGCATAGATGTCTAAATTGTATAGTCAACCTTGTCTGGAATAAAATAGTCCTCCAACGAACATTTTAGGTAATGGTTGGTTATGCTGATTATCAAAACATATATTGAGAATATTTTCTTTCTGAGTATTCAAATATTTAAAAAATGCTTTTGCTTTCTTATATTGGGTATGCAGTTCATTTCTTTTCTTTGTGGATTCCCGAAGCCAAAATTAAAACCATTGTAAACAATCTTCTTATACTTGGAGTATTTGATATTTGTGATATTAGAAAATGCCTTTTACTGCCTTGCTAACTTCGTAAAGTGTAAGTTTTGCAATTATTACTAACTTTTATATATAATTTTCAATGTTTTCTAATGCAAATAAGTCTTTCTAACTTTCTATCATAAAATAAAATGTAAGCTTACCAACGACAAACAACTAATAGACCAATTGGGTTGACAAGAATTAAATTGCAAGCATTCACGGTGTTATCCATGTAGTTGCCAAATTATTATGGCAAGGTGTGGTAGAGTCTTGTTACAAAAATTGTTTATGGTTATAATTTGGAATTGACTTAACATAGGTTTCTAAAAAGTACAAATGCTTTCAAAATTACATTAAGGAAGTATATTTGCATTTTCAATATCGGTTATTTTCTGTTCAATATCATTTTCTGGTTGCAACTATTATTGTAGCTAAAGGTGATTTATAGGAAACTACACTTTATTTTACATTGTGGCAACGGTGTAAAGCAGGAATCATAGTTGTATGAACTGGTCCATTCATAAAACGGAGTGCTCGCACCTTAGATAAACAAACTTGCACAAACAATCCCCACTCACTTTAGTAGGAATCTAGCTCTTTCTAACTAAAACAAAATCTGAATACTTGCAATAAATAAGTAAAATAAGGGCTTAATCATGAATGATTGGATTAATCTAGTAGTTTTTCTTCATTGAAGTTTACCAAATGTGTAAAAATATATAAAATTTTGTAGGACACATTCTTTCAACATTTAATTCATGGGTAAATAACTTCTCCTGCATTTGGAATATGACTTTTCTGCATTTGTAAGTACCTCTGTTGTCTTATTGCTACAGTAATATCTTGTTTTTGTTACTAACGACTTTCCAGCTAGAAATGTTATCGAAATACGAGACAACCCACCCTTACTTGCCCCTGAAAATGCTTATTTATTTCATTAAACAAACGTACATACTGGTGATTGTTTGAAATGTAGCTGCACAGATGAACATGTTTTCCTTCAAAGTTCTAAGACGATACTCGTACTTTAATCTAAATACTTACTAACGATATCGTTTCAGTTTAATTCCCACAGTGTCTAGGTATACGCTAACTTGTACGCAAGTCAAAAATTTATATACACACGAAACGTCTTGACAGAGTAGTTGAGCTGTGTGCAGGCCGTTGGTGTTTACGCCGGTCGTAGCTAGGTATGGATTGAAATTTTTTGTGGCGGCTAAGCCGCCACCCTACGAGAAAGTCGTTCCTTCTTTTTCTTGTTGTCACGGCAATATTATTATTTGTTATTTGTTTTATAAAATACTACTGTGCTAGTCACGGCGTAAATGAAAACAAATAAGACGCATTCACACAAACACCTCCCACCACAGCAATATGACGTTTTGTGTACACTTTAGCGTGTACCTAGCAACAGCGTTTAATTCCATTACATGTAACTCTATTTTTATTGTTAGTGTGATTGCAGCCTGCATCAGGTTCCACTGGCTTTTTTTACTATAACATGTAACATTTACCAAACTTCGTTTGGTACATTTTGACAGTCACATTTTTATTCTATTCTATATTGTTTCTTGTGTCTTCTTGTGGAAGTATCAAATCTGTTTGCCAAGCATTTTTCATCAGTTTACACTAATCAAAATCTAAATCAAAATTTTAACGATATTGAATTAAAACTTAATGTTTCCTCTTGCCACATTCCTATTTCGACCATTTCCGAGAAATTATCTAATCTTGGCATAAAGAAAGGTCCAGGTCCTGACATCATTCCTCCCATCCTACTCAGAAATTGTAGCTTCCTATTGTCTCGCCCTCTTTTCTATATTTTCAATAAATCTATCGCCACGGGTGAGTTTCCAGATTATTGGCAACTATCTTATGTCACCCCAATATACAAATCAGGTAGCAAGTCAGACGTCAATAATTATCGACCTATATCTATTCTCAGTACTATACCTAAGGTTTTTGAGAACATTATAACATACTACCTTACCTACGACTGCTCTGGCATCATAACGGATCATCAATATGGTTTTTGTGCTGGGAAATCGACTGAATTAAATGTAGTTACCTACGTCGTCTTCCTGTCAGAAGCTTTGGAGAAGGGTTGCCAGATTGATTCTGTGTACACTGACTTTTCTAAGGCTTTTGACAGGGTCAACTATTCTCTCTTACTTCAAAAGCTCGATAAATATGGCGTGAATGGGGTCGTACTGCAATGTGTAACCCCTCCTGGGGTTTGTTCGGGTAGCAGGTAGATTTTAGACAGTCGGAGACAGAGTTCTTTGGAACTAAAACTTTATCCTAAAAATTTTTATACAGATAACAGTATTTACAATATGTACATGAAAAGGTTCTATCTAAATTTCGAATCGTCGTGTCTTCAAATGTTGTTCCCCAAAATATATTTTGTGCGTCGGTTTGGCGTGGTTTAGTGGTCCAGAATGGTGTGGCGAAGATGTGACAAGGGCTTAGGTTATCTTTACGGTGATGGAAGTGCCTCGAAGTCAATACCTTCGCGGGAGAGATTCAAGGGAAAGAAAAACCTACAAAGTCAATACCTTTGCAGGCAAAGGTCGGGACGCCTACAGAGTCAATACCTCTGCAGGAGTAGGAGAGGAGAGTCTTGCTAAGTCAATACCTTAGTTTGATTCACAAGAATTAAATTCGGAGCTCTTTATATACTTGTCTCTGCTTGGCAAAAACGGCTTCATGCTGAACTATAGGCGTCCCTAAAACGGTGTTACTGGAGAACATCGTTACAAATGGATTAGTAGCTATCTTACGAACAGAACTCAAAAGGTTAGAGTAAATCATCACTATTCTAACTTATTTCAAGTTACCTCAGGTGTTTCTCAAAGATCACAACTTGGTCCCTTATTATTCAACTTATTTATAAATGATATCATTCATTGTTTTCAGTATGGCAAAGCACTATTGTTTGCAGATGATTTAAAAGTTTTCTTAATTATTAAAACCATTTATGATGCCCTCTGGCTTCAGTCTGACCTTGATAATCTATCAAACTGGTGTTCATTAAAGGTCATTTTACTTGAATGCTATAAAGTGACATATCATGCGCTTTTATCGATCCCATGTACCAACTACTACTTTTGACTATAACTTAAATGGTCATATCCTGAAGTCTGTTAATCAAATTAAAGACCTTGGAGTTATTCTTGATCCCACTTTAAGCTTCAATCAACATGTACCTAAGGCTATCCATAAATCCATGAAGATGTTAGGTTTTATTAAAAGGCTAACACAGGATTTTACTGACGCAACTGCAATTAAAGTCCTTTATTGTTCACTAGTCTGACCTCACCTAGATTATTGCTCTTCTGTCTGGTCTCCACATTACATAACACACAGTAGAAACATAGAAAATATGCAACATAAATTTCTTAGATACATAGCCTATAAATTGGGTGTCCTTTGCGAGTATGATTTGATAGACAATTTTCTAAACATCCCCTCTTTGGAAACTAGGAGGAAACAGAGAGACCTGACATTACTTTTCAAAATTATCAATGGCAGATGCAGATGTACTGAACTTCTAACAAAAATAAATCTTTATGTTCCAACGTGCTCAACTCGACAGCAACAAACATTTTATGTACCTTTTTATCGTTTAAACCATACTTTTAGCAGCTGTATTCCAAGAATGTTCAATTAGCCAACACTCATAACGATCTTGAGATATTTAACACCCCCTTTCATAACTTTATAAAGCAATTACTTAGTACTGAGCGTTAATCTTTGATCTTTAATTTTTAATGTTTAATGTTAATATTTTATTCAACCTTATTGTATTTTGTCTTTTTAAATCCTTTACCTATTTTAGTATATATGTAATGAATTATACCACGATTGTATTTCAGCATCATATATATTTCACTACATTTTAATTATAATTTATTTCTCAAATGGTTTTGCCCGTAAATAAATAAAATAAATATTGTAGTAACTATAACCTTTTTATACAAATCAACACAAGCAACTATACTTAAAATGTGTTGTTAATGTTGTACAAAAGAATGAACCTGACTATTCTGTATCAATGCTGGACATGCATTTACTAAAGAATACAAGAAACTATTTATTGTTTAGTTATCAAAAAAGGATGATATTCTCAATTCGTCAGAATATATTTTTTTATGAATCTTCAGCTAAAATTATTTACTGCATTGTCCGATTTTTTTTCTGTTAGAAAGGGGGTACATTGGGGGTGGTCCTGTATAAATTTGGTCGAGATCTGGTGACGGAATCCATGAGAAAATGATCAAACTCTTAATTTTTAGGGTCAGTTTTTTAAATTACTTTTATACCTTCTAAAGAAACGTTTGCATTTATGGATTTAAAAAAAAACCTTTACGAATTCTTGTAACTCTTTTAGTTATCCATATTTCATAGGAATTCCATATAGAACTAATTTTAGAAAATTTTCAGATATCAAGTTTTATAAAAATGATCCTCTATCCCTTGAATTTTCTATAAGTTGTATTTAATATACAGGATCCCTACTATTTCATAGTGACAGTATTGCTATTTCTTAAACGGTAACAGATACAAAGTTGATTAAATTAGACATTAAAATAGTGCCAAGAAACCTTTGATATCTACAGGGATATTTTGAATCTCCCTGTAGATATCAAAGGTTTCTTGGCACCATTTTAATGAGCACAAAACTACGCAACTTTTGTCTAATTTAACCAACTTTCTATCTATTACCGTTTAAGAAATAGCAATACTGTCCCTATGAAATATTAGGGACGTCATAGATCATGTTGGCTTTTATTTTAAGATTTTTTTGTGTATTGCAGGTCTCAAGCTGCTTTCCGCCGATATCCAAGCGCAGTTAATCAAATACCTTCTGAAATCTGTCTGTACAGATATAGTGACAGAAATTTTAAATTACATAGCTTCAGAGCAAAACTTAGCCCCTCCGACTGAGAATTTAAGCAATGAACAGAGGTTGAAATTTGTTAATGATTTACCATCGGAATATAAACATACCATTCTTCCAGTCGTCAAAAGTCTGACGGGTCAAAGCATAGAGGACTTTTTAATGACAGTAGAAACAGCTTTGTCTGCTTGCAGTATGATTTTGAAAAAGATCGATAAAAAGAAAGACAGGACCTTGGTGCTGAATCACAAGTATCAATTACTAGAGGAACTTAATAAATCTGAAGATTTAGCTTTAATTTTACATCTGGCAGTAGTGGCAATATTTACCACTGCTACTCAGACAATGTTGCATTGCAGTGGCCGACACGTTTCTGGCGTTTTATCATTTTTGAAACAATATTTGAGTGATGAGCAAGTGATGGAACTTATTTCATATCATGGTAATTATTTTTCATCATTACTATTTTTCTAATAATATTACGATTAAAACTGTCACAACTATCACATAATACTTTATTGTTTTATAGACTTTGTAACATTAATGTTGAGTGGAGGTTCAGAAGCAGAAAACGCTAAAGAAAAATTAAAAGAAAAGGTTTCCACTATTAAAAAGATTGCCAACGATTTTAAGAAACCAGGCACTGAAAAATCATAGAAGTAAGAAATATCATTGGAATCGAAGTTGAAGGTCCCGACTTGGTAAATGTAACAAGATGTTCAACTTTTCTGTGATAATTTCTCAATTAAGAAAGGAATAGCAGTTTATTTTCATCGGTTATATGAATTACCAAGATGGTGGTATTAAGGTATCTCCTTTAAAAATGTAAATAAGACATAAAATATAGAAGTAATTTTAAAATGTTTTTTATTACTTTTTCTTACGAGACTCGTTACCTTTATGGTACACAATTCCGAATTAAATCGACCTTCTGTCATCGTTCTTCCTAGTTAAATATACAATCTGTTAAATATCTCACCTAGCAGAATAAAAATGAGACGCTTAATTATGTTTATGAGAAAATAAAGAGAGTAGCTCTTGACTCGCCTATCTGCCTACCGTGATTGGACACAATATGGTTACACCTCTCCCGGTAGGATAGCAAGTATGCTCTATTTCTGTTTATTCAATAGCTGTGTCAGTAGCATTTGTGTTTTTTTTTAATAGTTCTTTGGAGTAAAAGGTTTGAAAAGTTAACACGTTGTATATTTTATACAATAATAATAATATAAACACAACTTGCTAGAGTTGGCGCTTTATATCACAGACTATTTTTAATTAAAAATTATTTTTCTTAATGGCACTGGATATAAACCGACAGACCAGCCAATTGTTACTTAAGAAAATTAACTACAGCTATGCCAGTGTGTGAATTTGATTTTACATAACAAATTTAAACATGGCGACCTGATGCCTTGTTAAGAGAACAGGTAAAAGGTAAAAAAAGAGATGTTGCTTTGTTGAGTGAGAATAAGATTTTGAATTAGTGCCGGGTGAAGCGAATCCACGCGGGATGGCTTCTTGGCGTGGCTTGTGTTTCTAACCAATCGCCTGTGAGGATACGTCCACATGATAGCTTCCTATTGGCAATTTGCCTTTATGACAAAAATTACAGTGTTTTTGAATCACCTCTATATAATTGCCAGAGGAGGCTTAGGTGTTTTAATTCAAATACTTTTTGTTTCATGTTTGAATTTAAATATATGTTGAAGATTCTTCAACAGCAGGTATAAACAGGAAATCTGATATAAGTAATTTATTCTTATCATTTTTTTTATTGTGAACACGGAGGTATACGATTGGCTTGTCAAAAGTCGATTTTATGGTTTGCGCATTTTAAGTTTGGATAATTGAGTTAGAGAGTGGGGCGCGATAGAGAAGTTCTGAGCGTGCTATTCTATGCGATAGAAAAGGAAGCATAATAGCAGCTGCGTGCAAGTAGAAGAGAGTGAATGCTTATTTCTCCGTGTAATAGAAAACGATAAATATGTTATCGAGAATCCATTTTGGAGTAACCACGTTTTCAGCATGATAGCGCATCTTTAAAACAAAAATGACACTATACAAAAAAAGTTCACTTTTCTTAAGATTCGGGTTCTACTGAAACAACGTTACTATATGACATAGGCATAATTCCGCTAAATGGAGTTGAAATAACGACGCTATATTTGTTAAGTCTTTACTTATTTAATATATTATTTAAATTTAAAGGTACTTATTATCATCCAGTACGAATAATAATATTTAACTTTTATTCTCATTAGTTTTATTAATTATATTTCGCCAAAAGGGTACTGCCTTAGTTAAGTAGTCACATGCCACCGCCGCACAGTGCGTCGCCCAATGGACAAAAATCAGATTTCGACATCGGGTAAAAATCATAATATACATCTAGGCTTAAAGAGTAATAACTAATTAATTTAAAACCACCATTTACAGTACGTACAAAGTCACAGAGGTGACTATGGTAATAGCTGAAACATTCGTCAACTTATAAAATAGTTTTGTAGTTTTCTAAAAAAATTAATTAAATTAAAATTTTAGTTTGCTTATTTTATACTTGTTTTGAAAGTGCTAAATGTTATAAGGTAAGTACTTTTTAAAGCAAAATTATAGTTGTAAGTTATAGCTCAAAAATATTTAAAAATAATTATTTTTAAAGTTTAGGATAACTTTAGAAAAAAAGGATTAGTTTGGTCCCTTGAAATATATTATTTTGAAATAGTTTATATCTTCGCAAACAAGTTGATACATCACTTAAATTGCTCACATTTGCACAAGTAATTTAATTTTTTATTTTTAGTTGCTGATATGGCTTTAAAAAACAGCGATCTTTTTGAAACGGCTTCGTGTTAATTACACTTTATTAATGACAATGTTAGATGGTAGTATCATTAATACTTTGTCAAGTACAATGCGACACAAAAATGTTTTATCTGCGGAGCTTCCCCAAAGGAAATTAATTTTGAGTCAGTCACTAAAAAACCTGTTAAAGTTGAGAACTTTTGGATTGTCCTCACTCCATTAAAAATTTGGCAGTTTAGAGGATCTGAAAACAAAAAAATCTACGAAGATCGTAAAAAATATATTCAGGCTGAGTTCAAAACCAAGATGGGGTTGGTAGTCGATAAACCAAAACCGGGTTACGGATCCACGAATGACGGTAACACAGCAAGAAGGTTTTTTAATAACGCTGATCTTAGTTCCACAATAACAGGTATCGACAAAGAGCTAATATTAAAATTTTTCATTATTTTACGAACAATTGCTAGCGGTATGAAAATTAATTTAATCCAATTAGACTGGTTACTTCTTGAGACTAGATTAATCTACTTACAACTCTACGATTGGTACTATATGCCTAGTAGTGTGCATAAGCTATTAGTTCACGGAAAAGATATAATTCAGCATTTTGACCTTCCGATTGGCCAGTTAGCTAAAGACGCCTTAGAGGAGGTTAGACACAAAGAAATACGTAAATTTCGACTGTTTCATTCAAGAAAATCTTCAAGAGGAAACACAAACACAAATATTACTAATAACTTCTGACCCATTTGTATCATCTTTAAGAAAAAATAGTTTCAGAGACAACGAAAATCTCAGTGGTATCAACGAATACACAATCGATTCGCCTGTAATAGATGATAACAACTATGATCCTAATAGACATAAGCGCTGATGAAAATGAATCTTCAGATAGCGATAGTGAATAAACTTGTATATAGTTTCTTTTAATTTATCAATGTTTCCTAGTTCTATTTCTTTATAATTTGTTATGTACTATTATTAAATTTAAATAGATATAAATAAAAAGTAGATATTTTTCAAGTTATAGATGTCTAATCTTTAAAAATATATGTATGTACAAATACCAAGACACCTTGTATGACTGGTACAATATTTTTTTTTCATTTGTACATTAATAATGGTCTGTCATATAAATATATCCCAAATTTTTTCCATAACTATTGGTGGTTTAGGACTGATAATTTTTGTCCAGGTAGATTTATACCGCGACGCACTGTGCGCCGTTAAGAACGATTTGTCGTTTGAACCAGACTAGTATCGCTTCGACTACCGTAAATTACACATGCGCGTGTTAAAATTGTAGTTCGGTACTGACTCGAAAAACCTTCCTGCAACATTCAAATGCCAGCCCTTAAAATACAGTCCACACCTTTCTGAGTCGGTGCGTGCACGCCCAAGAAGAGGAGTCTGCTTCAGGAAGCCAGGATAATAAAAATCGAAAAGTAAGACCTGATTGGCGAAGCATCAAAATATTACAGATGGCGACATACCGGCATCTTAGTAATAACCTATTTAATACTATATATGCCGCGTTTGAATATCCACATCGGATGCATCTGTGATGTGAATTTTTTATCACGTGATAGTGAATTAGATCTGAATGTAGATGTAATAAACAGACGCTCTAGACTTTATTGGTCACGTGATAAAATGATAATGACAAGTTAGAAGTTTATATTCTTTAAATTTGACTTTTGAGACTGGAAAACAACCTTAATTTATGGCATGGGACGAACATCTCATTCACATCTCATTTCAAATCGAGATGTAAAAAATGTAATCGGACGGCTACATCTGGGATAAACAAACGTAGATGTAGATGTAGTAGATGCATCGGATTTGAATTTTCAAACGTGGCACTAGTAAGTAGTGTTAAAGAAGAAGTTGTGTGATACACACGTCGCCGTAAGTGAAAAAGTGACACGTTTTGCCAAAGGATAGTTTGTACTACAAAAATTGCAAGTGAGTAAATACATAAATAAACATTTGATATAGTGACACTTGTTGATTTACCACGAGACAGAATAATTAAGTTTGCGAATTCTGTGCTCAGTTCGTATTATTTTCTTAATAATGAAAGTTTAAAATCATAGTTCATTAATACAATCATTTATTTGAGAAACACCAAGAAGGAAACCATAACCTAAAATATAAAAGATAAGTGATAGCTCCAAAACGGATTCATGGTAATATATATGTTACGGTCAAAGCTTATATTTTGGTCTTTTAACGATATTGGTCGGTCATTTTCGTAAATATATTTGATTGGGCATTCTACTGACGTTAGTGTCCGGTCAATATCGTCAGTGCTCAATTTACAACACTGCCCGTAACATATACATAACCAGAGATTAGGGACATAAAGATCTCAAAAATTATGAAAAATAATAGGTGATTCCGTATAAGTTTGTGTGTATTTGACTCTGATTATATGGAAAAATGAGCATGAGCATTCACTTTTATTCAGCAATTGCTTCACGCGCAGCTACTCTTATGCGATCTTTTCTATCGCATAGTAGGCGCAGTGCTTCTCTGTCGCGCCCCATTCTGTTACTAAATTATCCAAACTAGCGCCAACCCTATGATCGGCCATCTTTTGCCAAGCGAAACCTATACCAACGTGTTAGTATCAAAATATTATCGTTGGGATGTATTTCTAGCTCTTATTGGCAAATTAACACATTCCAAAAGGTTCAAATAAACCTCCTTGCTTTGCCAGACAATACCCAAATCTATTATGCAAAGATAATCTCATATCTCTCAGTTGATCTGTCGTAATTTTTGCACTTTGTTGGAAATTTTGTTGCCTTAATACATCAAGATTTGGTGCTCTTTCAAAAGTGTGTCAATACACGTTGTTGCGTTTGAAAAGTACCTCGTTTTTCTTTTTTTACTGGATACCGTTCCGTACCGTATTTGCTCCATTGATATGGTTTGCTAGTTATCAAAAATCTACCTGCTCTGCTCGAGGAGGTACATTTCAACTGTCTCTTCCAACGGTCTCTTTCAGAAACCTTCACAAAAAATCATTAGATCTTCTGATCTTAGAGGTCACTTGATCGAAGTACTAGTAGAGATTAAATAATGGTTCCTAAACGTAACTTCGAGAAATTCTGTCACTGTCCGTGCATTGTGACTTGGACAACCGTTTTGTAGAAACCAAACTTCTCTAAAATGAACAGGCAGTTACTGAACTACCGGAAAAATCTATTCTTTAAATAAATCTAAATATTTGGCACCGTTTAGGTTACCGTCAATAAAAAAGGGACCTATGATGCCGTCGTGCAAAAATTCCCGACTAAACATTTAATTTTTGTGGATGCTGAGTACTCAGGTGCTCATTTTCCCGCAACCAATATCGTGCAACGGATGAATAATTGTGTTTTCTATGCAATGAAAACGTCGATTCATCTGTAAATAAAATGTGTTTCAAAAAAAAATCTAGATTTACATTGCATTTCTCCTTGGTCTCACAAAATTCCATCCGTTAAATATTATCCTCTGGAAAAGTTCCTGAGTTGTTCGGAGTTTATAACAAGGGTAGGTTCTTTTTTTAAATATTCCGATCAGTTTTTTCATTTATGTTAACTAGTGCTGCAATTTTAGTATTATAATAAGGTTCGCTAGTTTCAACAGACATTTATTTTCCTATTTTCACGCTCCACATTACCTATTTTTACACGTTTTTTCTTCGTCGACGTTATTGCATTTTCTACACTTCTGGGTACATCCACATTTCTCAAACTTTTGAATAATCCGAATGCGACGAAATGGGTCTGTTTTCAAATACAGAAATAACATTTTCTCTTTTATCGAGTGACTGCCAAAATACCATTTAAAATCTATTTTTTTTCTTCTTAGTTATAATTCATTGTTTTGTTATGGATTTATTAGGTAGGTACTAACTACTACGTGAGCTTCGTGGCTTGCCTAATGGGGCTCTGATCGAACTGAAAATGGCGCATACGACAACTAGGCTGGGACAAGAGTCGAGCGTAAGTTGGGAATGATGAAAAGCAAATGTATTCTGCAATATATATATTCTCCTATCTCACTTTGTCCAATTTATTGTAAAACAGACAATACGCGTTTAATTTTACGTATCTATTAATAATGAGGGTAAATTACATACATTAGCTTACCTGTTTTTATATCTGCCAACCCGATATTATGGCTAAGAAAAAGGTAGCCAACCCTACATCTTTTACTCTCGTTTGGTATTGCATTTTTCGAGAAAAAACAATACACTATATAAATAAATAATTTTTAATTAAAAATAACCTGGCAACTTAAGTTCGGATCTTAGCTTAGGCTGTTACCTACAACATTTTATGTGTTAGATTTTATTAATTATTAAGGACCGATTCCACCATAGTGTTAAACGAAGTTTAAAATGACATTTTTACATTAACAATGTCATTTTAATCTCCGTTTAACACAACGGTGGAATCGGCCCTAAGTCAAATAATTATTTAGTTATCAAGTGATTACAGATAGAACACAATGTCAACAGCATTAACAGCTGATCACACTAGACACTCAAGGCGACTCAAATCGTTCTGCCTGGAGGAGCGCTGACGACGGTCCGCTACTACCGCCTCAGTTCCCCGCACTACCCGCTCTTGACTGCCGATGTTCTTTACCGTACTACAATTAAGAAAAATGTGTTTATCTGCTAACATGTATCAATCTTCCTGTAAATATTCCTGTCGGGGAGGTATGAAGGGTTTGAAAATAACACTTTCAATGGCTGATATATTTTTATTGGTCCACAAATAATTGAAATTCAATTTTTAAATACATTCTAACACTTGATTGTACATTCTAATATACTCGTTACGAACCTACCTATTTAATATCATAAGATATATAGTCAGTTATCGATTAAACCGATTAGATGAGGGACTAAATAGCTACAAGAGGTTAAAAATAAAAATATAAAAATATATATCTTCGTATTTATAAAATACTGTGTGCTATAGAGTGATCAAACAAAGTTTAAAATGAATTATTATTCTAACATTTAAATCTAACAATAATTTTAAGTTTTACTAAATATAAATAAATATATAATATCGCATTTACGGTCTCTGTGCGTTTTTATGATAAAAAAATATTTGTTTTAACATTTTTTTCAAAATTAGAAAATTACTTAATATTAAGCGGTGAAAAATGGATTATAACTAAGTAAAACATTGGTGTTCTTTTCGTGTTCTGATATACACTTATCTAAATTATGTGGTTGGACTAAATATCGAAATTAAACAATATTTATCTAGTTCTAGGATAAACTATTTATTTGTTAACATTTTGATATGATATGAACACAGTCATACTGAAACTACAATATTTTTTGTTTATACATTTCAATATCTGTTAAACAAATTAACAGATTCAGGTAATCTGAAAGTTGCAAGCATCATACAAACAAATAGTTTTACTTCATTTGAAGTAAAGGATTTGCTATTAATAAAATTGACACTAGTTTTTTCCCGAGGTTTTGCCTTAACTATAAGATTTATGATAAAAAGACAATTTCAAGAGTACACATTTTTAGTAAATTATTATATGGTAAATGTCACTTATATTTTGACGTTATTAGATGCATCAACATGATATCAACTTAATGGCTCTGTCAGTTGTATTTTTTTGGCTTCAAGTAAACTTTCGGAATTTGTACTTATTTTACTAAATGCTAAGAATGTTTCAACGTATTAATCCAACCATTTTCTATTTACCTAGTTACTGATATCATTCTTTATATCGTCTAGAAACGTTTGTCAGTAATAACAATAATAACACTAAGTTAGATTCAGGGAATCCCTCTTGGGCCGGGCTCTTCAGGACTAGGACTGTCGTTTCGTCTAGAACGAACGCGAACAACTTGCCTATGTGTGTTTTCTTCGTTTTGTGGAGTCAGTGTACTGGCGCCGTAATGTAGTTCTGTCGCCGACGAGGCTAACCTCACTTTTTCAGAATTTACGTCTTCGTTTACAGCGAATAATAGGCCCAAGTTCAGTTGTGGAATATCGTAGAATACTGCCAGCGTTAACATCATTATTGTTATGCCCATGAAAAGGTAACCTAAAATATTTAAAAATTAAAATTAGGTTCAATCTATATAATAGGTACTGTATAGCGGGGTTATTTTAGAAATGGGGGGTAATTTTGGAAATTGTGTTTTTCTTATTCAATCTAGCAACGATGTGTAATCATGGCGTGCAACGCCAACGAACGTTGGAGGGTTTTTTGCAAGATAATAAATATGGTCAAAATCACTACTGCACACTAGTAAAGATGAGTGAATGCAGATATGGCTTTGCGAAAAAGATTGTGTGGGTGTTGTTACTCAGAAATAATACGTATTTTAAAGACAGTATATATCTAAAAAAAAAACTATTCAGTTTTTCGGTGAGCGGGGCAATTTTGGACGAGATATTTTTTATTCTTCCAAAATAGCCCCATTTCCTAAAATAACCAAAAAATTTGCTTTTTTTGGCTAAAAATCTCTTCTCTCTTCCAAAACGCCATACGTGATATTCAGTATAATGGTCTGAGCCTTGATAAAGCTTCTAAAAAATATAGGGTGCCTAGGTCTACCCTAGCTTTACGAGCTAAGATAAAAAGCACTTTTCCTACAGCAGGAAGGCCTTGAATTTTAACAAGCGATGAAGAAAAAGTGCTGGTTCAACATCTGAGCGTGGTCGCTTCCTGGGGCTTTCCGTTTGACTTTACTGACTTGAGGATATTCATCAAATCTTATCTTGACAGAAAAGGCCGCAATGAACGGAGGCTTAATAATAATCTACCGGTCAAGATTGGGCTTCAAACTTTTTGAAGGGAAATAAAAACTCAATATCGAATCGATTTTTAGCGAGTATCTCTACCAAACGTGCGGTGGTAAATAGGCAAAATTTGGACATTTTCTTTGACAATGCTCGAGTTACGTTTAATACCACAGACCCGTCTCTAATAATAAATTTCGACGAAACCAACCTGACTGACAACCCAGGGGCAAAAAAAATATATTCAAGAGAGACACCATGTACCCTGAAAGGGTAGTCAACTCCACGAAGACTGCCATAAGCATAGTGTATGCTGGAACTGCAGATGGACAACTTTTGCCTGAATATGTAGTCTACAAGGCAGATCATATGTGGGATAGTTGGGCTCACGGTGGACTTGCAGGTGCGCGTTACAATCGGTCTCGAAGTGGCTGATTTGATGCCGTCTACTTTGAGGATTGGTTTTATAGCATTGTTGTCCCTTATTTAAGAAACAAGGATGGAGCTAAGGTTTGTTTGTAATCTAGGGATTCAAGATTTTGCTATTTTAATAATAATCCCCATTTTTTATTGCAGATTTTAGTTAGCAACAACTTATCCTCACATTTTTCACAGAAAGTATTACAAACATGCCAAGAAATTAACATATCTTTTATCTGCCTACCCCCTAACTCAACTCATCTGATGCAACCCCTTGATGCGGCATTCTACGCTCCTCTAAAGAAGTATTGGCGAGCGATACTTACCGAATGGAAGAAAACAGGAGGGCGTAAAATGTTATCAAAAGATGTATTTCCGCAGCTACTAAATAAACTTCATTAAAAATTGGATGAAAATGGTAAAGTCTCCGAAAATCTCATCTCGCGTTTCCGTAAAACTGGTCTACATCCATTCGATCCTGCCGAGCCAAAGCAACGACTTCCCCTGAATCTGAAGCAGCAGACGCCGAAGGTACACATACTGTTCGTTCTACTGCTGTGGTTGACATTTTGAAAGAAATGCGTCATAGTACAGAAGCACCATCACAACAAAAACAGAGACGCAAGAGAATTTCAGTAGAGCCTGAAAAGAGTGTGTCAGCCACTGATGTTGCTTCAGTGTGCTGCCAAAAAAAAAACAGTTGCTAAAAAATTGAAATTAAAAAAAAAAGAAATCAGCGATACCATCATTCTGGGATCAATTACCAAACAGCAGTAGCAGTGATGATGATATGCCATTGATACACTTCAAAGAAAACGTGCCACCTGTTACCATTACAATGTCTGTCTACTAGTATCACATATTATTTCGAATAGTTGTATGACTTATATGGTATGTCATCTCCTCTCCCTATTATTTCTATGGTTGATACCATGGAGGTAGAAATGGTTGATACCAATTGATAACCAATAGAATGAGTATAGATGATTTCATTGAAAGACATTGAAGTTGCAAGGTCATTGCAAGAGCTTTGCGCCATCTATTAGTTTACATAGCAAGTAATAGAAGCAGGATTTTATTTCAAAGGAAACTGTAAATTATCTTTTCGGCATTCTGTTTAAAGTTACGGCGTCAGCATACATTTCTTTTTTCCTTGTCTTCTTGTTTAGCTGTATGGGCTCAGTTTTTTACTAACACTATCTGAGGACTATCTGGCTTGCCAAGAAGCGTGTGTTAGGGCTCTTATGGCTGATTTTTGTCAAATAAAAACTTTTTTAAAAACGAAACACTGGCACTGGGAAGAAGAATTTTACGGTTTCCTTTGAAATAAAATCCTGCCTATATTATTTGTTATGTAAACATAGATCGCGAAAGCCTTGCAATAACCATGCAACGACAATATGTCTTCCAATGAAAACATCTATTATTGAAATAATACCTAGTGTTTTTATTGCAAAAAGAACTTACACGTAGTAGCAATTTTGTACAGCGGACGGTAAGGTTGATCGGCAGAGTCACCAGGTATATAATCTCCTAATCCTATGGTCGTCAGTGAAATGAAACAGTAATAAATAGAATCTAGATAATCCCATTCCGGTTCTATTACAGCAAAAGCAGCAGCAGGAAGTAGCAGGAAGAATACAAGAAGGAAGAGAACTAAAAATAAAAAATTAATTAAGTATAATTGCTTTTACTTTAGAAAAAATTATTAGTAATAATAACTATTACATACCCATAATCAAAAGATGCATGATACGTATGTTAAAGGGTTGGTATAAATGTCCAAGTCTTGAATTCAGCCATTGCAGTAATCCAACCGTTGGTACTAAGAGCCTTTCTACTAAAGCAGACAACAGTACCAACGTCAAAGGGATGCCTACCATCGCGTATACCATGCAGAAAATTTTGCCGGTTCTACTTAGAGGCGTTACGTGTCCATATCCTAAAACAAATTTAATTATGGGTATTCCCGAATGTTGGTCATAAATAACAGTTTTGAAAGGTGATCGGCTGAACTCAGTCATATTGTCGTTTTGCTGAGATCTAACTGTTTTGAACGATGTTCAATAGCTACACTTTGACGAACATCCTCAATATTATCAACCGTACAACCTGGCCGTTCAGGTTTTGATGTTTTGATATCTTGTACAGTAGTTTGCGATTTCTGTACTCTATCATCCTGTATACCTAAGTTATCACGAATTCCATGAGTTGACGAAATCAAATTGTAAACGCCAAAATTTAATGGTGTAATTTAGACTTTGCATCATAGTCGTGCATCGCATTTAAATTTGACATCTCTTAAAAATTATTGTCAAATAAATTTTCAAAAATGCCGCTGTCAATTTTTTGGGTTTTCGGTACCCATACAACTGCACCGTATGTTAGTAACTGGGGGAGATACCCTAGGTGCGCCCTGCGGTTCGACGGCATTGTTCATAAGTAATTTATGCATTTTCTACTTTGTTTTCTAGGTGTGAGTTCCATGTTAACTTGCTGTCAAAGGTGATACCTAGGTAATGCACTTCTGTTGCAAAGTTTAGTTTTGTGTTTAGAAGCTCTGGAGGTTTTAATTCCATTTTCTTCCTTTTTCTTGTGAAAAAGACCATTTCTGTCTTTTTGGGATTGATAGACAATGAAAGATCTCTGCGAGCAGTTAGCATAAGAAACACTTGAGGAACATGAGGCTAGATTAATACAGCAACGTCAGCGATTAGCATCACAAATACCTTAGCAACATGAGGCTCGGTTAGCGATTAGCGTCAGAAATACCTGTGATATTCTCGCCTATGATTCTTATGTATTATGTGTTTTGTGCATATTTATTGTACTTATCAGACAGTAGTCTGTGAAGAGTATTATAGGTTTATTTTCGAGAAACCAAAATTTTTAATACTGTTCAAAATATAAAAATTTTTGTTCGAAAATCCTTCTCATCTTTTAAACAACTTTTAAAAACGTCACAATGTCATGTTTTTTGTCCGCACGATAAGTACATTACTGAAATTGTTTGGCGTCAGTTTCGTAGTCGTAGAACAAATGTACCAAACAGACGGCGTACACCTTATTCACCCTAACCCTTAAGCCATACAGTTTCCAGCAAAGTTCAATTATGGAACGACTGAAACAAGGATGTTGCCCTTAATTTTGTCATGGGCTTCAATTGTCCACAAAATAAGGCAGCACTATAGACCTCGCAGTTGTGTATTTAGGCTCGAAATTGTTTGAGGACGGACGAGTAAAACCATGTAATAAAGAGGCACTAAATAAACTAAATATAATGAGAAATATTAAGTAACAGAATAAAAAGTAAAAAATTTAAAATAAAATATTGTCGTGAAACTACCCTAAGCCGACTCTGGTCCACTCGTTGTTGCATACCGCTTCGTTTGTGTTTCGATACCGCAGGACAGACAAACGCACTCCTTCTAGAAGCTACCAGAGAAATCGTTGCGCAGCGGTTGAGTCATTTTAGATAATGTGTTGTTCTAGTGAGTAGACGTGTATTCGAGCTCCAGCTGTACTTACAATTTTAAGTGGCAAATCTATAAGTAAAATTAGTATCTTTATTGTGATAACCTGTGGAAAGCATACTTTCACATGTGAGTAAGACATCTAGTATATCAATTGTTATATAAATAGAGTAAATTTGATTTGAACATTACCGGCAAATCCAAGCAATGCCGCCAAAACAGTCTCGGTCCTCCGATAAAAGTTCACGGGCCAATTCTGTCTCCGAATCTAACGAAATAAAAATGGAAAACGATTACGGTCTCACCTCAGACGAACGAATTGAACAGTTAATGGAGAAGGTATGTGAAAAATTTGCGTGCAAACTAGAAAAAAAGATTGATAAAAAATTAGAAGATATAACACGAAATGTATCCAAGCTAATAGTTGATGTTAGTAACATTGAAAAGAAAGTACAGCAGAATGAAAAGGAAATCTGTAATATTAACGGATTTACGGATCACCTAAAAAGAAAGAACACAATAAGAATTAATGGGCTCAAAGAAAGTGAAAATGAGAGTGTTCATGATATCACTTTAGAATTTATTAACACCGCACTGAAAGTTGTTTGTACCTCCAATGACATTGATGATATATTCAGAATTGGTATTGCAAATAAAAAGTCGGGAACTAGAACTATTTTGGTTAAATTCCTATCAACAAAGAAGAAAAATGAGTGTTTTCAAGCTAAAAAGGCACTCAAGCAGACTGGTATTACTATTTATGAGGACCTTTCTCAACAAATGTATGAACTTTTGCAACTGGCGCAGAAAAAATACGGAAGAACATTAAGTTGGACTATGGGAGGTAAGGTGTTCATACAACATAATAATATGAAGAAAGAAATTAAATGTTTTGACGACCTCATTGATGTCCCGTAATCCTTCTTCGGAGGTTTCAAGATTATTTCGTTTCTAACGACCTTTCCTCGCGAATATTATTTGCTAAACTTTTTTCTCAATTATTGTGGAATTAATTTTTATTTTAATACCTATTTCTAAATTATTGTTTTTAAGTTTTTATAAACTCTAGATATTTTTGAATACGAAGTAACTCGTAAACATTTATTTTTATTTCTTGCTTTCATTAATATGTAGATAAAGTAGCAGGATCCATTATAATCAATAATTGAAGGATAAAAATATTTATTTAATTTTTGTTCTTTGGTATTTACTTTAGAATAAAATTATTTATTGTTATTCTTTTCTCTCAGCAACTTAAGTATCTACTTGCGCTCTATTTGTTACTAAATTTATTTACTTAACTAATTTGCCACATATTTTACAGATTTTTTTATATATTTAAATTGCTGGGGCCGAGAAAACGTTCTTAGAATAACACATTTATATGCGCTAGCTCAATATCAACATATACATATTGTTTTTGTACTTAATTTTCATCTTCTACATATTTTTTACGTTTCTCGCAACGCTATATGTTTTTAAATATTTATTATCAGAACGTCAGGGGACTCCGCACCAAGGTCTCGGAGTTTAGCAAAAACTTGTCTGCAGAAGAGTATGATGTTGTTATCTTGACGGAAACTTGGCTATCAGAAGACATTAAAAATGGAGAACTATTTAGTTGCAATTACATAGTATATAGAAAGGATAGGGATAAAATTTTAACAGGAAAACAACGCGGAGGAGGTGTCCTCATTGCTGTAAATAAAAATATCATATCTTCACTTATATCAATTAACTCACCTTTGGAAACAATTTTTGTAAAACTTAAACTACACGGAACCACAGTCATTATTAATTCAACTTATATTCCACCGGGCGCAAATGCTAAAGTCTACAGGCAATATCTAGATTTATTTGACAATTTAGATCCCTTAATCACTCAAACCACACACATGGTACTTATTGGTGATTACAATATACCATGCATAAATGGCACATCTTTTCAATTTTCTAATAAAAATGATATAATAGTAACAATGTCTCTATTAATGGCCACTTACAGTCTACATTCTTTCAACAATTGTCTCAATGAGGATCAAAAAACTCTAGATCTGGTGCTTGGTAATTTGAATTTGAATATAAAGGAGAATAAAGAACCTTTAGTTCCCATAGATAATAAACATCCCTCTCTGATAATTAAGACGGAAGTAAAAAAAAGTAATCAACTCACATACACAAATAATAATCTTCAAAGCAGATATAATTTTACAAAAGCTGATTTTAGATTACTATGCGAACTACTAAGGGATTTTAATTGGTCCAAAATTGGACACATTGAAAAGGTTGATGATTCTGTAAAATATTTTTACCAGGTTTTTTATGAAATGCTTGACATATGCGTACCAAAGTTTACTAATAGGCCACATGCATATTGCAAACAGTTTCCGCCATGGTTTACGGATGAAATGAAAATCGACATAAAGTACAAAGAATTTTTCAGAAAAAGAAAACATCTATCGGAATATTATTTTGGTAGATATAAAAAAATTAGGGCGGACCTAAAATTGAAAATAAGGACGGCGCACAATAATTATATCCAAAATATGCAGAACTGTGTTAACCAGGACCCCATGCTTTTTTGGAAATTCATTAAAGATAAGAGGTCTAATAATATATCTGAATCAAATTTTATTATAAATAATAGGGAAATATCTGACAAAAAAATTATAGCAGGGGAGTTCGCTGATTATTTCAGTTCAGTGTATGACAACGATTCAAACTATAACCTTATAGATATTAATGGTTTGACTAACAATTGGAACGTAAATTTTTATCAGAATATTGACTTCGATCTAATATCCGTCAAAGACTTAGAAGCGGCATTTCGAAAGTTAAAACCGAAAAAGACAGCGGGTCCTGATAATATTCCTTGTTATATCCTAAAAGCTTGTAAAGATTATTTAATATACCCTTTGCTGGTAATTTTTAATAAGTCGCTTAAAACATCCATATTTCCTAGTGAATTTAAAAGAACGAGATTAACACCAATTTTTAAAAAAGGGGATAAAAATAAAATAGATAATTATCGTCCCATAGCCATATTAAATTGTACGGCGAAACTGTTTGAATTTGTAATATATGATAAACTGTATGCTTACTTTCAAAAATACATATCAACCGAACAACACGGATTTTGTCGTAAAAAATCTGTAGATACAAATTTATTAACTTTCAGTGATAAAATATCAAAATGTGTCAATTCTCGTGAGCAAGTAGATTGTATTTATACTGATTTTAAGAAAGCCTTCGATAAGGTAAATCACAATATTCTTCTAGCTAAACTGAAATATTATGGTCTTAGCGATCATCTAATAAATTTCTTTATGTCTTATCTAAAACTAAGGTATCAATACGTAATGTTTGGTGGTGAAGTATCTCATACAATCCTCGCAGGCTCTGGGGTCCCTCAGGGCTCCAATTTGGGCCCTCTACTTTTCTTAATATTTGTTAATGACCTTCCTCTACGTATTACATCAGACTGCCTAATGTATGCAGATGATCTGAAAGTTTTTAAGAAAATATCCACCCTAGATGACTATCTAGACCTTCAAAATGACTTAGACTCAATTTCGGATTGGTCATTTGAAAATAAATTACATTTTAATCTTTCCAAATGCAAGGTTATTACATTCAGTAACATTCGTAATCCTCAAAATTTTATCTACACAATGCAAGGATCAACACTAGAAAGAGTGTCAAAAATGACCGACTTGGGAATAGTTTTTCAAAATAATTTCAAATTTGACGAGCATATCCATAACATTACCAAAGAAGCTAACAAATTGTTAGGTTTTTTGAAACGCACGACTAGGGACTTTACAGACACACACTCGATTAAAAATGTATTTTTTGCTCTCGTTCGTAGTAAATTAGAATATGCATCCACTGTATGGGACCCTACACAACAAAATTTAAAACACATTTTGGAAACTATTCAAAATAAATTTGTCAAATATTTATACTTTAAAAAGTATCATACAAGTCCAGGATTTGTTTCATTTGGACCTATTAGAAAAGAGTTTGAAATTGAAAAATTGGAACATAGACGCTCTATAATCAACCTTATCTTTTTACATAAATTATTAAATGGATATTTGGACAGTCAATATTTATTGAGTCAAATAAAAATTAATGTTCCAATAGCAGGTATTCGTCCACGACAATTAACTTTTCGTGCGGATAATCATGGTCCAGTAGAAAAAATTTGTCTTTTGTTTAATGTACACTCCGAAGGCATTTCTTGCGGTATTTTTGATGTAGTTATAAGCACATATAGAAAGGAACTTAACAAAATTGTTGGGCTCGATTAAAGAGATATAACCTTGTAGGATTTCCGTGGCCTTGGTGTGGGGTTTTGCAGACGCTCTGATTATTCCTGAATATTTCTGATTATTTCAGTAGTTTTGTTCTTTAACGAACTTTGTTAAAATTTTGTAGTAGCGAGGTTTGTTTATTATAATTTCACTTATATATTTAATTAGATATTATGTATTTTTGTTGATTTCTATTTTCGCTGTATTTATAGGAACATGTAATTAGGCTCATGCCTGTTTGTTTCTGGAATAAATAAATAAAGAAAGAAATTCCAGACTTTCTAGACGGCCGAGAATGTACTAGCGCAGAGCTGGCTTTATATTGAACGGTTTTATTGAAAAGAAAGAAGAGTGATGTGATGACTGGTACCTGGGACCTACCTAATTATTTTTTAGTTATTTTCAATAAAACCGTTTACCTTAAAAATTTTTTTTACCTATTTTATTTTATATTCCTTTAATTTTTTATTGTACATTTAAGGTAGATAAGACCGATTCGACAAAATGGCATTAATTTATTTAATTTTCTTGTTTTCAATACCCTCCTCTTTCTTTGTAATGAAATGAATTTCAGTAAAAATTCCAAAGACAACCAAAGAGCGTTCACATTTAGGTTACGCCGGCTGTACTTATACATAAGATGAAAAATGTTTAGCTAGGAATTTTAGATTATAAATTAATTGCTGTTTAAAAGATATTTCACAATAACTGTTCGATTCTTCAAAAAATTTAAGTTTTGAGTTTAAATCAATATTTAGATATTATAAATACTGTTTGAGGATAATTATCTCATGCCAAGTAAGCAAAATGAAATATTTTATATCGAAAAGTCTACGATGTAAAATACGATGTCATGACTTTTAGTTAAAAATGGACAAAATAGAAACATTTTTAAGGTCAAAGACTTTGTATTTTAACCATTAAAGTTGTTTTTAAACGATATAATCGGAACATTTTTACAGCCGTGGATGATAAGAAAGAGTTATTAATATTTTTGTGGTTGAATTATTGACCGATTGCAGACTGATAATTAAATAGAATGTATAAACCCTAACTACTATTTTATTTATGTATAAACATATCACTTGAAGAGAGATATTTTATGTGAGATATGTTTTAAATGTTCTAGACCTAGACTATAACAATACAAAACCATCAGTGATTTAATTTTCGTATAAAACTACTCATTCTTATTTATCTGGTATGTGAAAGAAACATTGATTCGTATTGAAACCAGAAAAAAGAAAAACTAAAAAAAATAAATTGATACAAAATTCTACCATATAAAAATATAATTTGCGATTGTACCCATTGTAAAAAAGTATGAAAGTCAAAAACACAGAAAAGAAGGAATAGAGGAACTATACAGAATGTTGTCGCAAAGTACATACCTATGCTACGTTTGAAAAGTACCTTTGTCTGTTTTTCCCCTTTCCGGTTTTCATTAAAATAACAAACTTAAACCTTTCTTTTAAATCAAATTTGATCTCTCGTCTCGTGGTTTTTGTCGCAAGTTGCAAAGTAAAGATAATTTTTAGCTGTAGTAATTTTCGCTTTTTCCTTTCACTAGAAAATAAACCATGTTGTCATTTCTGACTAACATTTTTTACAAATATTTTTTTTAATAACCAAACATATATGAAGAAGAATAAGCTGCAACACAAGAGACAATGAACGACGTCTTTACATCTCAGAAAAGCACATCTAGTTTGTCGATTGTCACAGAAATTACATTTACTTCGAAAGCTCTAAAATTTAATTCGGATTAAATAGATCTTACTTGACTTACCAGCTTTGCATTAAAAGACCACGGAGCTGGACAGGGATTCTTATGTGCGAACTCAACACGTAACGAATCAAATAGAGAGAGACATTACATAAGAATCGCATTCTGTGGAACAAAGATAGTCGTCTCAACACGTGTCGTATTGAAAGATGAGAATCCCATCAAGAAGCCACAGATTTATTAAAAGAACGGCTTCGAGTAAAAAGAGCAAAACGCAGCACTAGACAGAAGTAGAGAGTAAGAAATAAATAAATAGACAACAGTAAGCTGCTTTGAATAAGAAGAAATGGAGAAAATGTGTTTTCTAGAACTACTCGGATCATTTTTTTTTTGTTTACAGATTAATTCTAATACATTTTGAAACGTATTTTCAAACAGTTCATTATTTTCGAGTCTTGTAACGTAAAACACTCACCTATAGTTGTTACCACGGTGCTAGCAAAAAATAGCGACTGTCCAAAACTCCAATTGAGTTCTCCGGTGGCATTTTTAATCGCAGACACTCCTCTGTTGCTCGCCTTTACAATTTCGGTAATTAATTCTTCCAAATCATTATCTAAAACAAAACATTTTAATTAAAGTTAAACGTAAATTCTCGACTATTCCGTGCATCAGTGTGACGTTAGTGAGCCAAACAAAAACAAACCATTCTGTCATTAACTTATATGTTTATTTATTGTTTTACAGAATTGGTTACTAAACGATTATTTAACTGTTTACTTTTGGAATATTTATTTTAAGATTCAAAATTATTTAAATGAAATGATGACACTTTAAAGACTAGATAGATAAAATCTATAAACAACTTTGTTTGGCTCCTGCTTTACGTCATCACTAATTTACTGCATCGTTGAGCGGGACATAAGAAATCCCATGTAATTTGAAATGGGGGCCAATTATTGGCTTGCCTAATTTTCTTTGGATTTATTAAAGATCACTAAAACCCACATTCGAAAGAGTAACGTTAGATATTATTAATTAGCCCGTTTAGGAGTTATCGCCGATTTCTTTTTAAATATTTCTCCTTTATTATGGCCCTGTATTTAGTGGTCTAATGAACCTAAATAGAATTTTTCTCTTAAATAATTAGGGAAAAATTACATGGGATTTACTACGTCCCGCTCTACGATGCAACTCCCGGTATATTTTGTTTTTAAATGTTTACCCAGATTAGGGTTTTAGAGAAATATTTAATACGAATTTCTTCTTCACAAAATCAAAATAGGTAGGTATGTACCATGCATTTGTAAGTCGCCCTCAGGGGGCCTAGGGTATAAAATTCAAGTAAGTCCCATCATGGCTTACTTGTTGATTACTTAAATTACACAAAAGTAAAGAGTCTAATAATATTATCCTGTCCGGTAGGTATTTATACAGGGTGGCCACACGAAAACGAAACCGCCATTATCAGTAACTGCGCAATATTTTAAACAAACGCGCACTAACCCATCACTTTTTAATTAAAAGAGAACCTCTTTATATCATATCCTCAACTGTCATACGTCATTTTGAATAAGCGATTAAATTAATTTTAGGTTCAACTAAGAAGGCAAATATGGCCAAATCAAGAAAAAAAAAACTGCTGTTAATCCAGACATGGTTGAAAAGAGCAAAGTAGAGGAGAGACCGGATGAATTTGACGAAAAAGTTTTAATAATTTTATTATTCATAGGTTATTTGCTTCCAAATAAATTTTTTTGAAATTATTCATTATTTTCACTAATTTCCTTAAACATTCTGTTATTCCCCATTTGAGTTTTTGAAAATGTCCATGGAATGTCCTTAAATGGACGTTCTTAAGACATCCTGATTATTAACAATGGACGTTCCAAAGACGTCCATAAGACGTCCACGTCCGTGAAATGGATGTCGTAAGGATGTCCTGAATGTCCAAGCAGAACGTTTTTAGAACGTCCATAAGACGTATTTGTGCTATCTGGGTAAGTACCAGGTGTTACAACTAAAAAGTTTGTAGCTGTTCTTGGAGTTCCTAAAAGAGTGTTAACATCCAATGATAATGAATGTGTACTGTCCATGTGTTTATTTAATATCTACAATAAAGTATTAACGTCCCTGTGTGAAATTGTAGATTCGATAACCCAAGTCCTTAATTTATTATTTAGACTAGGCATGCTAAAATAGCTGAAACGGTCTTAAAACTTGTAAGAACTATGTGTAAATCATTATTAAAGTTACAACTTGCTATACAATCTAAATCTTTTATATCATGATCTATAATAAATGGGTCCTTGTCAACTTTATATACTTCCTGAACTGGACAGCTGATTTCTTGACTACCACTTGCACTTGTATTAGTTTCAGTTAGTTGATTTAGTGTGACTACACTTTCATTTTTACAATGCCTTTACTTTCTGTCGCTTTGAAAGCTAATAAAAAAAACTTCCGTTCTCTAGGCATTTTTCCTGATGAACTGTATACTTGCTAACGAAATAAACCGTACAGAAAATATAAAGAAGGCTGGTTTGTGTTGGATGCAAAAAAAAACAAAACAGGGAAAAATGCTAGGTTCACAAAAAAGTCACTCGGTTAGGTTTTCAATAAGTTTTGGTTATCTCTTCGATACAAAATGATAGGTACATATATTTGAAACCTATATGATATGTTACGCATATGTATCAAGAAGGGTTTCACATGAGTTTTATTGTTTTATTTGATACGTTTCAGAAATACATCTAACATATCTTTCCATGTTTCGAAAGTTAAATGATATATAATAGAAACCTTTATGATACGTTACGTATATGTATCAGAAAGAGTTTTACTGAGCTTACTAGGATACGTTTCAGAAACACATCTGACATATTTCCTTTCATGTTTCAATAAATGTTAAATGATACACTTTAGAAATATTCATGATCCGTTATGTATACAGGGTGAACCGGATTTAATTTGCGTATACGAAGATCTCGTAAACAGTAAGATATACATTGTCGGTTAAATGGGAAAAAGTTTCGTATTTTGACGGATAATACAATGGTCCATAGAAGTTCCAGATTTTCTGACTGGTTCCGGAGATATTGGATAAAATCGTGTCGTGCGTTGTTATTATAAAAGATAAAAAAAAATTATACGAAGTTTTTGTTATAAATCAAGTTCCCTATAATCTGCCATATCATAATTTTTATTACGACGTTTCGTATTTCCAGGGCCACCTTCAACTTATTTTTTAAATACGGACCTTTAACTGTAATTTTTTATAGCTTTTGTATAGCTAAATACAACAATATGTTACACTTTACCATTTTACTACGTTTCATCTATGAAAATATCGTTGTATTTAGCTATACAAAAGCTATAAAAAATTACAGTTAAAAATCCAGGTCCGTATTGAAAAAAATAAGTTGAAGGAGGCCCTGGAAATACGAAACGTCGTAATAAAAATTTTGACATGGCAGATTATAGAAAACTTGATTTATAACAAAAACTTCGTATACTTTTTTTTGTGTCTTTTATAATAACAACGCACGACTTAAAAACGAAAAGGAGGTTTTTCGGATTTTATCGAAGATCTCCGGAACCAGTCAGAAAATCTGGAACTTCTATGGACCATTGTATTATCCATAAAAATACGAAACTTTTTCCCTATTTAACCGACAATGTATATCTTACGGTTTACGAGATCTCTGTATACGCAATTTAAATCCGGTCCACCCTGTATATGCATCTGACATAGGTATATCCATTAATGTATCAATCAAAATTCAGTCGAGCTTTCAGTGTTATGTATCAAGAGATGTGTGTTTACTGGGACTTTTTATTTCTGCAAAGTATTTTATTTAGTTCATGTTTCATTCAATTTTTTTCGTTAATAAAATTTGCTTTCAAATGAAGTGTGATACCGTTTCTTATCCTTTTAGAGGGCGCTAAAAACAAAAATTTTGCAACTCTCTTACAGAATTCTCAATAAAATTACCTTTTCAATAATGTTTTATACTTGATATTGAAATTGAATTGCTTAGAGAGACTTATAGAAAGGGAATGATGTATGGCAGTTCAGGATATGATAGAAGTAATGTAATCCTATTGATACATTTTCAATCAAATTGCATTTTTAATAATGTATCATACTTGGTATTTTCCTTATTTAAATTGTATTGTTCACAGTGATTGATGGGAGGGAAATGATGTATGACACTTGAGGATATTATAGAAAGACATCCCCTTTTGATCAAAAATCGTTTGTCTGGACGAAGATGAAGTTTGACACCGTAGACGAAGCACTAAATGGTCTAAGTGCGATACGGACAATTCACTCGACTTGTACGGTATATTTTTTGTATGCTCCAGGACACAATTTTAATTGGAATAAATATTATTCCATGTTCATTCTAGAATAGATAATATAAAATTATATGCGTTCAGTAGACTGATATGGCTCCTATAATTTGTGCAGAAAATAGGTTGCTTTATATTATAAACACTAAAATTAATCATAAAACTTTTTCTGTTTAACTTATTTTGACAAATTACAAAAATTATAACTGACAAGACGATAATGAAGACTAGAAAGACGATACAATTACCCAAACTACTATTTGAAGAGTTAGAGGAATAAGTAATTTCGTGTGTAGTAATTTCGTGCAATCCCGGTGCACACTCCCTAAAAAGTAAAATCCATAAAATTTCATTTATTAATTTCCAATATATATTATATACTTTTGTTGAGAATTTAGAATTGAAAAGTTTTAATAGAAAAAGTATGATATCAAACTTTCTTAATGACAAAGTTTCATCTCTTGCTTTAAATATTCCAAAGTTGACAACAAAAAAGTTGAGCGTGCAAAAAAACAACTTTTATCGTGATCGAAATTTTTAAATGAAAGTAATTATTTATGCTGTAAAGCGTGATTTACAAAGTTTCGACAATATTTTTTTGAGAGGCTTTTAAATCACTTGATATTATACAAGAAAGGAATTTTCAATACGGAACGTATAACTTGCAATGAGTTGAGCAAGGTATAATAGGAAAGTGCACATATCATGCAGAAACCGCTGACGTTCGTCGCACATAAATAGTGGTCTCTCTAAGGTATAGTACGAGCAAGAGATATAGTGTGACTTTAAAGCCAGCCGGCAACATACGAAAAAAACTGATACATTTAATATAGTAGAGGAGCATTCAAGAGAATGATTATACTTATTTTATTTGTACTTCCCTCGATAAAGGCGTAAATACAAGAAAATTTGGCTAGCTTCAGGTGTGCTTAGTTGCACGGTTTTCTTCACCACCTCGTATTTATTTCACATTTTAAAAATCAGAAAAAGAATGTACAACGAACTAAGTTAATTTTCTAAAAGTTTATTTACAAACTAGTCTGCTCCTGCCGGTTGTATTTTCAGCCACCTGCACTGCATTGAGTAAGAATCGTTTATAACTGCCAACGAGTTAGTCAAGACGCAGATTGTTTAGAAGTACATTTAATACGATGACGAGAGCGGATATACAAAATTTTCAAATGGACAATGATTTGTATTTTCAAGACAGCTATAAAAAAGAAGAACTTCTTAAAGCTTTACGGACGAAACAATTTAAAA